CGACATGGAATCCGTCCTGGGGCGCCTGTACAGGCTCAGTATTGACTGGACCAGTGGGGGAGACAGACGTGTCCTGAGACCCCTGGTTCAACCCTGGAGGACGCTCCAGTGGTGGTCTGGGAAGGAGGGAAAGAGGGAATTTCCCTTCTTCCAGGGGAGAGCCTGGCCAGATGGCTGCTCCCTTCTGATAGTTTCGGTTTTGTCTTGGTCTGTTGCTGTGCGGCTTGTGATTTGTGTTCTGTGTGTCGCTGTTTTTGTTGTCCTTTATTTCTTACTGTCTCCCCCATCTGTTTTTATTGTTGTGTTTGATTGCTAGATGTATACTTGTATGAAAAATGTATATTGTATTCTTATGATGTGTTAATTATGTCTACCTCTCAATGCAACTCTAGGGCCAAATGTAAGGACAAATTTTTGGGATGGAGAGGCTTGTACCTAGATTTGGCTCTGGTAACCAAGAAACTTTGCTGCCGAATGACCTTCTCCTGCTCCTTGGGAGCCTGGCCAGTTCCTGGGGAGGAGGATAAAGGAATGTTTTCTGATAAACAGGTGGACATGCTTCATGTCTCGGCTCTCTGGCCAAGACCCGAGATGGGACGCACTGCTTGCCTAACATCTTGGCAATGAGCCACCCTTGTCCTTGGGGGCTTTAAGGGGGAGCCGGAGCAAGCCTCTGTTGCTGCTGTTTCATCCTGGGGGAACACGCAGTCAAGCTGAATGTTAAATGTGCCCGTGATGATTACTAATGATGTTTAATTCTCAGTATGGATCCTTCTCCGGAGCTGTGTGAAGATTGCCTAGCGATGCCCACAGTACTGTAAATTCTACCAAACCTCCTTTGTAGGCTTTGGGGAGTGAGGATAAATTTTGTTATCTGCATCATGATGCATGTGTAATTAGAAAAAACAGTACAGGATAAATGTAAATTTGAAAACAGAAAATGCTGCCCTTTGGAGTCAAACTGCTAGATCGTGGTAAAAAAAAATTATATCAAGCCTCTGTACCACTGCCAGAGACAACTAAGGTTATTCAGTGTTAACAACACAGAATTCCAGGTGGACATGAAAAAATATCTAAAACAGTAAAAAAAAATTATGTTAGTGCTGGAGTGATAATTCCCATAATCACTAAAAAAAAATTTATCTAATTTGACATGTTAAAAAAAAAAAACAGGTAAAACCTGAAAAATGACTGTGGATTACAGGGAATTAAACAAAGTTACTCTCCCATTGACTGCTACAGTCCCAGATACCATCATTTTAATGTAAAAGGTCACAAACATAAAAGCGTGTTCTTGATAAGGAAAGTTAAAAGGAAGAGATACTTTTAAATAAAAAAAAGGACACGGTTTGTAAAAATTGTTTATCTTAATGGCTGGTTTATACTGGAATGAAAAAAAGGGAGAAGAGAAAGGTTTGAGCAAGTTACAGAAGGTGTGAGAAAGTTGCAAAATGTTATGGAAAGCATAAGTTAAAGCAATAAGTTAAAGTAATCTATTATGTTCTCTTGATGTCTCTGTTAAATTCTAACTGTTTAAAAACAGCTGCAAAAAGAGCAGTGGTGAAATGGAGGGATCCTATCACCAATCAATGGAATGGACCTGATCCAGTACTGGTATGGGACATGGGCTCCTAAGGGATGGGTTTTTCTATGTAACCAATATGCCTTTACATCATTAGCCTCTGATAACTTCTGCAATTGCTTCCTGGGCCGTGTGGCCCTGATGCTAACATCTGTATTTACAGCAGCAGATAGAGCGCGTTGGCGGTGTGCTTTACCTGAAGACTGCAATAACAATCATCCTAATAGGAGAGGACACTGCCCTTGCCATGGCTGTATCAGTAGTCGGTGTTCCTGGACTGGCTTTTGGAAATAATCGTGGACTATGAAGGCTTACATGTTTGGTGACCAAAGCAATCAATCTTACTGCTACTGTGCTATCCAATATAGCCAAAGAATTGGATCAAGTTCACTCAGGAGTGCTTTTAAGCCATGCAGCTAACAATTACTCGCTGTTAAAAAAATCATATAAGTTGTAAATCTGTACCTGGGGGATGTTATTTTAGTATTACTAACAATGTGCCATATATAGAGTCTGTTATTGATAAACTTAAGAGTAAAATGCAACATATGTTTATTACTAACCCACCAACCCACTTGGGATGACTGTCAGCAGCTTTTACAGGCCCTCCTGACCACGGAAGAGCGGCAGCGGGTTTTCACAGAAGCCCGCAAAAATGTGCCGGGGGATGACGGCCGCCCCACTCAGCTACCTAACGAGATTGATGAGGTGTTCCCGCTGACTCGACCTAATTGGGATTTCAATACGACAGTGGGTAGGGAGCGACTCCGTCTCTACCGCCAGGTTCTCCTGACAGGGCTCCGAGGGGCAGGAAGGCGCCCCACCAATTTGGCCAAGGTACGTGCGATTGTGCAGGGTAGTGAGAAAACTCCAGCAGGATTTTTAGAAAGGCTAATGAAAGAATACAGAATATATACTCCCTTTGACCCACAGGCCCCTGACCGGCAGGCTGATGTAATCATGTCCTTCATTGGACAATCGGCCCCGGACATCCGCACAAGGCTACAGAGGCTGGAGGGGTTGCAGGGGTATACACTGCAGGACCTAGTTAAGGAGGCAGAAAAGATTTTCAATAAAAGAAAAACAAAGGAGCAAAGAGAAGAGAGGTTACGCAGAGAACAGGAACGTAGGGAAAACCAGAGAGATAAAAAAAGAAACAAAGACTTAGTTAAAATCCTAGCCACTGCAGTCACAGGACCAGAGCAGGCAAAAGGTAAACAAGATAGGGACCTGGGAGACAAACGGAGGCCACGGCTGGACCGAGACCAGTGCGCATACTGCAAAGAAAGAGGACACTGGGCTAAGGATTGCCTGAACAAAGGACAGCCAAGGCGCCAGCGGAGAGCGATGCCCGTCTTGGCGCTGGAAGAAGACGACTAGGTAGGTCAGGGCCAGGCGCCTCCCCCTGAGCCCCGGGTAACTCTAAAAGTGGGAGGCCGGCCAGTCACCTTCCTGGTCGATACGGGAGCCCAACATTCAGTCCTCACAATGGCCGGAGGCCCCCTTAGTTCCAAGACATCATGGGTCCAGAGGGCCACTGGAGGAAAACTGTACAAATGGACTACTGAGCGTAAAGTCGACCTGGCAACAGGGCGGGTCACGCATTCGTTTCTACTAGTACCGGACTGCCCATACCCCCTGCTGGGAAGGGATCTGCTCTCAAACGTTGGGGCCCAGATCCATTTCCAAGACAAGGGGGCCACAGTAGTCGGCCCCACAGGCCAACCCCTCCATGTGTTGACCCTCCAGCTGGAAGATGAACACCACCTTCACGAGAGCCCCCTATCAGCTCAGCCCCAAGTAACATCTGAATGGCTTACTAAATTCCCCCAGTCTTGGGCGGAAACGGGAGGAGTAGGGCTGGCTATCAGACAGCCCCCGGTGATAGTAAACCTGAAGCCCACGGCCACTCCCGTATCAATCCACCAATACCCTATGGCTGCGGAGGCGAAGGATGGAATTCGACCACACATACAGAGACTGATAAAACTGGGCATATTGAGACCTTGTCAGTCACCTTGGAACACCCCTTTGTTACCAGTCAAAAAGCCTGGCTCTAATGATTACAGGCCAGTGCAAGACCTACGGGAAGTAAACCGTAGGGCTGAGGACATTCACCCCACGGTCCCTAACCCATACAACCTGTTGAGCACCCTGCCCCCGACCCGAACTTGGTATACAGTACTTGACCTGAAGGATGCCTTCTTTTGCCTAAGACTGAGCTCCCAGAGTCAACCTCTCTTTGCCTTCGAGTGGAAAGACCCGGAGACTGGGTTTTCGGGACAACTAACGTGGACCAGGCTTCCCCAAGGGTTCAAGAACTCCCCTACGCTGTTTGATGAAGCCCTACACCAGGACTTGGCGGACTTCCGGGTAAAGCCACCCAGAGTTGACTCTCCTACAATATGTGGATGACCTATTGTTAGCTGCAGAGACTGAGCAGGGTTGCACCAGAGGTACGGAGGCCCTACTCTGTAGGTTGGAAGAGCTAGGATACAGGGCTTCCGCGAAAAAGGCCCAACTTTGCACCCAACGCGTGACCTACCTAGGCTACGTATTGGAGGGGGGTCGGAGGTGGCTGACTGAGGAACGGAAAAAGGCCGTAGCGCTCATTCCGCCGCCTAAAAATGCTCGTCACCTCAGGGAGTTCTGGGGCAGTGCCGGTTTCTGCCGCCTCTGGATACCGGGTTTTGCGGAGATGGCAGCATCCCTGTACCCCCTAACCAGGGCAAATTCCCCGTTTATCTGGGGAAGGGAACAACAATTAGCTTTTGACAGAATAAAACGGGCCCTCTTGGAGGCCCCTGCATTAAGCCTCCCGGACCCCGCTAAGCCCTTTACCCTCTATGTGGATAAAAAAGGGGGAATGGCAAAGAGTGTCTTGACTCAGGATTTGGGGCCCTGGAAAAGACCTGTGGCGTATTTTTCAAAGAAACTGGACAGTGTCGCCTCGGGGTGGCCCCCTTGCCTCCACATGATTGCGGCTGTGGCCGTCTTGGTGAAAGACTCAGATAAATTGACTTTGGGGCAACCACTCACCATAGTGGCACCCCATGCCATCGAGGCCGTCATCCGCCAACCACCAGATAGATGGCTCTCGAACGCCAGGGTCACCCACTACCAGGCCATGCTGCTCAACCCTGAACGGGTCCGGTATGGAACTGCTGCCTCGATCGACCCGGCCACCCTGCTTCCTGAGCTGGGGTCTGAATCACAAGTCGACCACGACTGCCACCAAGTGTTAGCCGAAGTGCACGGGACCCGAGAGGACCTGACCGATCTACCCCTGTCCAACGCAGTCACCTGGTATACGGACAGGAGCAGCTTCTTGCACCAAGGTGAGAGAAAGGCAGGGGCGGCGGTGGTTGATGGGGAAACTGTCATATGGGCCTCTGCTCTGCCCCCAGGGACTTTGGCACAGAAGGCTGAACTTGTGGCCCTCACCCAAGCACTTCGTGCCGCTGAAAATCGGAGCATAAATATTTATACAGACAGCCGTTATGCCTTTGCCACTGCGCATATACATGGAGAAATATATCGGAGGAGAGGGTTGCTAACCTCAGGGGGCAAGGACATTAAAAATAAGCAGGAGATCCTAGACCTCCTACAAGCCCTCCACCTTCCTAAGAAAGTGAGCATCATCCACTGCCCAGGTCATCAGAAGGGAGATGACGCAGTGGCCAAGGGGAATAGAATGGCGGATGAGGTAGCTAAAACAAGGGCCCTGGACAGCGTCACTCTAGTAACGCAGTCATCTGAAACCTCAAATAACCCTGGGTGGTCATATTCGGAGCAAGATGTGACAGCTATCCAAAGACTGGGAGGCGTGTACAACGACCAGCGTAAGGTCTGGGAGATCCAGGGAAAAACAGTATTGCCGAGAAAGGAAGCCAAGGACCTCATAAAAGACCTCCATAGATAGACCCACTTGGGACATAAAAAGTTAAAGGCCCTACTGGACAGAGAGGAACTAACCTATTTCATAATAGGACTGGACTCATTAGCAAAACAAGCGACAGAATCCTGTGTTCCTTGTGCAAAAGTAAATCCAAAGTGTATTAAAGTACCAGAGGGAGCAAGGATGCGAGGGGCACGCCCGGGAACGAACTGGGAGGTGGACTTTACTGAGATTCGTCCCGGTAGGTATGGAATTAAGTATCTCCTAGTATTTGTAGACACTTTTTCCGGCTGGACAGAGGCTTTTCCGGTAAAGAAGGAAACAGCGCAGGTGATGGTCAAGAAAATCTTGGAAGAAATCTTTCCGTGGTTTGGCCTGCCTAAGGTACTGGGATCCGATAATGGGCCGGCCTTTGTCTCCCGGGTAAGTCAGTTGGTGGCCAAGGTACTGGGGATTGATTGGAAATTCCATTGTGCGTACAGACCCCAGAGTTCAGGACAGGTAGAGCGCATAAATAGAACAAAAAAAAAAAAAAAAGGGAGACCTTAACCAAATTAATGATGGAGACTGGCGCTAGAGACTGGGTCGAGTTATTACCAATGGCCCTATTCCGGGCCCACAACACTCCCTCTGCGTTCGGGTTAACTCCGTATAAAATATTGTATG